ATGAATGTGATTTTTTGTCTCTTTACAATGATTAAACATGGTGGCAGCAGCAGCAACAGTTCCAAGGCAACAGTGAGGTTGGCAATAAAACACTTTTTGGCTTGCTGGGACATAAGAACAACCTTGTGTATCCTCTGCTAAAACATACTCACAAAACGGAGGAACCTGACATTGTCATGTACCAAGGACAACAAAAAGTCTCGTATGACACCCTTGTATGCATTTTTGAGCTTATTATCGCAAAATATTCCTCCAGTTACACAGGAGCATTAGAAAGTCTATTAAAAACACTTGTTATCAATCATCACATTTGTTTGCAGACCTCGCATTTTAAAATGGAATGGAGCTACTTACATTACCCTTCCGCTGCACCTCCGGGTCCTAAGTCAGCAGTTTTGGGCTGCTGGGGAGACCAACACTCAGTTTTCTGCTTCCAAAGCCCTTCCTTCAGAGGCACGTGATGCTGATGTTGCTGGTTTCTTCTTCCCCCCACAGCTTCCCGTCGCTCTACTTGGGGTCATTTCTATGTGTTAAAATGGAATGGAGCTACTTACATTACCCTTCCGCTGCACCTCCGGGTCCTAAGTCAGCAGTTTTGGGCTGCTGGGGAGACCAACACTCAGTTTTCTGCTTCCAAAGCCCTTCCTTCAGAGGCACGTGATGCTGATGTTGCTGGTTTCTTCTTCCCCCCACAGCTTCCCGTCGCTCTACTTGGGGTCATTTCTATGTGTTTGCTAAGATGCTTTTACACCTTTCTCCTTCTTCATTAGCCTGCAGCTCCAGGTTACACTCAGACTCTTCCCTCCACCCTTCTTCACAAAGACACTGTGTATATATTGCTGTCTCTTATACCAGCTGTCATTGGTTTACCTTTATTGCTACAGCCACTGCTGAAGACAGTCACTTTTACAATGCTTGGAGCAACTCACTCCCACAGGCATTAGTTATTTCCAGGTAGACTACCAACCTGCCTGTATAACATGTCTGTTCACACATCTCCCCAGAGTTGTGCCCCCAGATTACAGAGCAGTCCTGCATAGACTTCAGTGTGTCTTCTGCTTTGCTTTTTTCTTCCTTGCTTTCTCAAAGGGATGAAGACAACAGATGCGAGGATTCTGGTTTTGATCCTAAAGTCTATCCAAGAGAAAAATCCTACTGCCTGGACAAAACTATTCAGAAGTAGTCTCACCTCTTTTGGAAATGTATTCTCTAGCTTGGTCCCTATGACCATCAAATCCTTCTCCTCAAGGGTTCGCATTCGGGACAGTTTGAGCAGAACCGTGTAAGTACTTGTGCCTGTAGCAAAGGCAAGGGCTGTCCAGAGGGTGGGCAGGACTGAAAATATGACTGATTTTCACTTGGCAATGATTCTCCACCCTTGAAAGCATGGACTAGCCATTTAAAATGAGCAGGCCTAGATCTTCAAAGGGACCCAGGCTCCCGATTTCTGGTGAAAATGGTACCAGCTTAAGGACAACTGAAATGATCTTCTTATAAATACTAAGTGAAAGGGATCGAGCACCTGAGGATCTAGACAGTAGGAATCTCAATTCTTTTTATCCTAAAAGCAGTATTGAGTGACACAATACCTTCAAACCAAGAGCTTAAACTGTAGAAGGAGGAGATAAAAAATAAATAAAAGTAAAGAAATCAGCAGCAGAGCTGAGCCCATTTCCCAGAGCATACAGTAGTTTCTATTCATTAGTCTGAAACACTTTCCTCCTCACAGAGGGCTCTGGATATTAAGCAAGGCAGATATCCTGAGCCAGAAGCCGATGTATTTGGCATAACGTCAAGATGAA